AGGTCGGTGCTGCAGCGAGCTGATGTGCGCGTCCGCCTTCCCGCAGGTGACACTGCAATGCAGCTGCGGTCACAGGAAGGAGAAGCTTCCCTGCTCACAGTCGTCCTCCTCCTACCAGCGGTGAGGCTCTAAACCCAGCTGGGGCTTGATATTCCTCTTTCAAATCGGTAACGCTCATCAAAAACAATCCCTGGTCAATCTGACCGAGCATTATTAGATCATATTTTTTTAGAACGCCTTTTTGGAATTTTACATGTAGCCTGTGATTTGATTGTAAGGACTGTTAAACAAATTAACGTGGAGTATGCTTCAAGGTGTTTTTATTCATTTTCATAAACCTGTCAACGAACCTTTTGCGACATGGGAAGCTAACAATGTGCAACTTTGTGGATCCGTGGTTGTGGGTTGTTCTACCTTTGCAGAATTGCTACAATAGCATTGGTGAGCAAGCTCTCGGACATGCAGATGGGAGAGTGCACGGAGCTCGCCAAACTTGTGACTGAGAAGGAGGCTCAGCAGTCCAGGTGCACACGGTGTTTTGTTTATCACACTTAAAGACTTAAAGAAAGAGTGCACCGCAGTAGAATCCCTACAACTCTCATCTCACTTCGAGATTTGAAGCTTTCGCGACTGCAAGGATTCATACTCTTTGTGTTTTTTTTTCGGTAAAGTCACGTAGGTAAAAAAAAATCTATAAAATAAATGAAAACAACTAAATTTACTCATCTCACTACCAGATGTGCACCTCTACAATAGGATATTATGTCATGTGGCCATCTCCCACTTGATTTAATTACAAGTGTCTGGAAAATAGGAGTTCTCCCATACTTCGTGCTAACCCCCCCCTGCCTACCCCCCCCCCCCTTCCCGCCTACCCTTCCCCTGCAACCCCCCCCCCCAACTCCTTTCCTAATTCTAAAAGCTCACCAGCAGTACTTGGTCAAATAAGTTAAAGTTAACATTGCATGTGTGTCTGCGTTTAAAGAAAGACAACCCAATTGATTCCTTCCATTAAATGAACACATTCTTAATGTTTTGGTTACATATATATTTTAAAGTGACAAGTGGTTTATAATTGTTAGTTGCAAGCTGTGCTGTTATGCCACTGCATACCTAGAAAACAACACCAAGTATTTGTGGAAGTTTGATGCAAAATTCCAAGAGGCATCTTATTCAATTCAGTGGTATGTCGTGGTATGCAAGGTGTATAACAGTGTTGTAATTATGCTTTCGAGAAAAAACATCTTTTAAATGTTTCCCACAAGTATGGTGTTGTAAAATATTGTAACATTGTTATATATTTGTTTTCTTGCAGTGATAATTTTTTGTTTCTTGACAGACTGGAATGTACAGAAGAGTGTGCTGTGTTGGAGAGAAACAGGTGAAATACATTTATTATTTGCGTATTATATCCTACACATAATAACCTATGGAAATTTTTTTTGTGTAGTCGTTACGTGCATTGGTGGTTCATTTTCGAACATTTGTCATGGTTATTCATTGTTCTGTTTTCCAGACGGCTGGCAGAGGCCCTGAACATTGATCCATCCACCAACCCCTTCAACAAAGCAGCTGCCATGAAATACTCTGACTTCTTGAAGGAAGAGGCCAGGTAATGTTTATTAATAGTACCCGTGTGCTTTCCTTCACTGCAGGAGTAATAATAGCTCATATGTTTATGGAAATGAATAAAAGTATCTATACGTTTTATAAATCATGTAAGGCTGGCTGAACAAAGTATATAAAGCATGAAAGGTTGCATTGAAATATTTACGTTTTAAATTACTTTGACACACATGGACAAAACATTTCATAACGAGTTGGCCGACAGCCACATCTGCGGCATTACGTTTTTGCTCCCTGCAAGACATGTTATTTCATGCTTTAATTTCCTTAAATAATCAAGGAAGTTAATGGTTGATGCACTTCTCTATTTGAAGATTTGGGTTTATTTTTCCGTACTTCCCTCTTGAGACCCCGCCCATCTATCTTGAGGCCCCACCCCCTCCTCTTGAGACCTCGCCCCTCTATCTTGAGGCCCCACCCCCTCCTCTTGAGGTCCCGCCCCTCTATCTTTAGCCCTCGCCCCTTCCTCCAGACACAGACTTGATGTCCTGGCGCTTCAGGATACTCACGTCTTGGGATGCCCTACATGCCAATGGCTACCACATCCATGGATCACAAATCTAAAATAAAAATACTCTCCAGTGTGCGACAGTGGCCATCCAGAAGATACTGTACATGTTACGATGCAATGCGTGATCCACAGATTTGAAGAAGACATCACAGTGATACACTCCGCTGCTCCTGATGCGGTTGTTTGGCATGACCACCTGAATGTTAAATTGTAGTTGTTGCTCCGCATTTACATGAGCCATGCGAAATAATAATTCTGGACATGTTTTTAAAGACGGTGCCACTTTTTTCCCCGCGAGACTTGGCAACTGTGGGATAAAGAAAGCTTATTTTGAGTGATGCAGCGTGAGTGGGTAGTAGTAATGGGGGCTGGGGAAGGGGAGGAAAGGTGGGTAGCGGTGGGGCGGCTTCACGATAAAACCAACATTTCTCTGAGAGCAGTGTGTAATAATAATGGCAGTACAGAAAATGAACTCGCGTGACGGTTTAACCAAAGGTACGATGGACTGATAACAGTGACCCACATTCTCATATTTCCTTCCCATGTAGTGGCTGTAAGAGCGATGTTATGCGTTACAGGAAAGATTTGAAGTTTGTGCGTGGAGTAGAAGACGAGATACGCAATCTGGTAGAAGCCACAAACAAGGTGGGTGGGAAGAACGGCTTCATTCACTTTCATTTTCAACTGCAGACGTTCAAGAATAACTGTTTTCTTTATTTTCGTCAAATGAAGCTAGTGTGTTATACATTTTAAAAACGACAAAACTTAATCCAAGAAGTTACTTTTTCACATGTTAAATCATTGTCAAAACATAACGTGATTTTTTTTTTTTACAGCTATATATTTTCGAGTGCGACCCGAATAACCTTGTTATTGAGGCCCCTGGAGGTACGAACAGTCACCTGCCGGGCCCCCCTGGTGTTTTAAGTGCCTCTCGGTTGCTTTTGTGCACAGGGCAAACACGCACGTCGCAGCCACTGCTTTCCGCCCATGAACCGTGACCACCGGCGCGTGATTCACGAGCTGGCCGAGAGTTACGCGCTTGAGAGTCTGAGCTACGACAATGAGCCCAAGCGCAACGTTGTCGTCACGGCCATCAGGTCTGCTGCCCTTGCTCTTACCATTCCCTGTGCGATTGCTGGGCTTTTTTCACTTGCCAACACTCGAGGCCCCCATGTTCTGTGCTCTCCACACCTCCGCTTTCCAGTTGTTTTGATCTCTTGTCGCGTCTCTGTTAAGTTTACAATACCCGCATAAAATGCGGAGAGAAACTCATCCAAGGATGGGAAAAATAGGACTATTTGGTCATTTTGAATATTTGGTCATTTATGGAGCTTGCACACGGAATTTCTGTCTGGTGTCAACTTTCAGTTTACCTTCACTGATTTATCATAACTCGGTTATCCTCATAACTGTCAGTTGGTGCTCATTTTAAATGCTTTCCACCTCTGGCGATCTGCCACATCTCTCATTGAGAGTCCCTTCCAACTCCTCACATTTTACCTGAGCTTTTTCCCTGAAAACATTTGATACAATTTTATTATGTTTTTTTTGTAGGGGGAAGTCGTGCAACCCAAGCCCACCCCTGTGCGCCCTGATCGAGAGGGAGCTGGGACCCAAACCTCCTCCCCCTATACCACACCACACAAATCGGTGAGTGTACACAGAAAACTCTAACGCCTTACTGGGTTTATGTATGTGGGTGTAATTCACTTCAAAATCTTTATAGGTCCAGGCTTTTGCCTTATTGCATAATCACTTCATATGCATGTGCATTGGTTTAATACTTTATTTGCTTGAATGTGGCAAAATGCTTTGCTATGTATAGCATTCTGCCTGAGTAATTTAGACTGCCGAAGTCATAACTGGCCCTCTCTGGCTGTGTGCCCTTAGCCTTGAAAAGCCGGCGTCGGATGTCCCAGCAGTGGCGAAAGATGAACCTGTCATCGACTACTTCGACATGCAAGAATGAGTCGTGAAATCCCACCGTCTTCGCGGTTTTTGAAGCTGTCGTATATTTCTTTTTGTATACATCAATCTTGGACATGATATTTGGTAAACTAAACTCTCCTTGATTGCATACACAACATAACGTTTTTAAATTGATAAAACGTTACATGCCACCACAATTTTTTCTCATTGGAAACACTTCAGATTTCAGCCTGGTTTAAAGAATCAAAACTACAAATGGGAGTAAATGCTCATTTAAACTAATTCTAATTAATGTTGCATAAGCATAATTTTGAATTAAATTAATGTTCGGTTGTATGTAATGATAATAATTGCAAAGTCAGCGTTTACATGCATACGTTTGTTTGCATTTTTTGGACTGTATGATGCAAAAGCTTTAAGGTGCATTGCTCGACGTGACCCTTTGGACATGATTAAAGTCGACTTAAAAGATGGTAAACAGGGTTAGGGTTGCTAATTTACACATTCCTCCCTGTGAACACAATCATAAAAGTCAAAACCAATTCAGATTGTGCTATTGAGCAAAGATGTTTGCAAATTCAGCTTGCATTTTTGGAATTTAGATTGCTGTATTTTGGAATCTGTATTCAACGTGTGGGTATGCCTTTTATTTTGCAGCATGCAGAACTGAATTACTGAATTTATTATTTTGCAGAATTAACGAACGCTTCTTAGTTGTGGATCTTCCCGATTCAGAAAGTCCTATAGTTTAGAACCTGCTGCACAAGATTAACGAGGTTTGTCCTGTGGAAATCACAGTTGGCAAGGCTGACAGATTTGGCGGTCAGTTGTGCATGATAATTAAGTCATCAATAGGCAACTGTAAACCTTTGGCTAAGCGTAATAATAGTTACACAATGTGGGCATTCAAAATCAACTAATTAACATACTATGTTTTAAAATGCTATTTTATTCAATTGAGAGTACTTGCAGTGCATGTATCATAATACATTTTCAGATATTACTTAGTTCCACCTTAAATAAAGTACAAATAATGATATGCATAACATGGCTGTACATTACATGTATGTTCAATTTAAAATGCTTGATGCCTCAGAAGGCATTGTGTATGAACCATTTTAATGTTGGGTTCCTGACAATTCAGATGAAATCGCTGTATAAAATGTGCATCAGACCGCTGCAAAACTAGATGTAAGATCCACTTGTCAAGTGCTAAGAAGTAAGGTCTCAAATGGCCTGAACTCTTTACAACCACAAACAAACCTTGACATTTTAATCATTCACGGAGGCATGTATAGTTGAAAACTGCATAAAAACTGCTTTTTTGCTGCACGTGATAAAGAAAATAAACAATTTTGCATTGTCCATTGCAATGTTTGTTCTGTTCAAAAGCGGTCCTCTTCATAATGACACTTGGATGTTTCCGGTGCATTGTGTTTAAACAGTGCAGTTGAGTTTATGCCGACGACTACGCTGTTGTCTTAAATGATGCTCTGCGTGAAGAGCACAGGCGACACGAAGATACATTGACGTTCAATTGTTTCACCGTGCACACGGCTCCTCACAGATGAAGGGGTGACTCAAAAGCTCCTGGGAGGATGGCCTCTTCAGCTTGTCCCTGAAATCACAGCCAAAGATGTTACCCTCATCACTTTACGCCTATTATTGTATCACTAAATGGAACACGTAACATTGTCCTTCAACATTACATTTTCCTGTATACGCAATGGTACTTTTGATTCAAAATAATAAAATAGCCTCGGTCGAGCTGATATAAAATTAATAATTTATGTACTGTAAATTGGATTTTAATATGGTAAGGTAACTTGAGAAGGCTCTCCTTCAATTGACATTGGGATACTTGATTGAAGACATAGTTACTCAGAATTTAATATTTAGACCGGCGAGTTTGCAGTTACCTACACTTTCATAACCATCATTACACAAATGCGAGTGTGTTACTGAGAACCACGCATCTTCACCTGATGAAGCATTGCTCCACAAATTCTTGTGCCTCCTTGGAAAAAGCTTGAGGCAGACCAGGCATAATCCCATTCCTTATGCCAATGTGGAGTAAAGCAGCCATGGGAGCCATGTCGGCAAAGGGTGGCCGACCCACAGCCATCTCGTGCAGCGTGCAGCCCAGGCTCCAGACGTCGGCCCTGCGTGCGTAGCCTGTGCCGTTGATCACCTCTGGAGCCATCCAATAGGCAGTGCCGTGCACAGAGTGCAGGCCCCCGTTTTCGTGGCAGCTGAGTGCCAGTGCCACCCGTTGAGCGCAGCCAAAGTCTATGAGCTTAACGACACCGGCGGGCGTGATCACCGCATTGCTCCCCTTGACGTCGCCGTGCATCACGCCGTGGCCGTGCAGGTAGGCGAGCCCGCGGGTCATTTGCGCGATGTAGCTACGGCACACGGATTCGCCGAGGGGCCCAAACCCCCGGACCGTCTCCGCCACCGTTCCGCCTGGCACAAACTCCATGAAAATGCTGAAGCGGTTTCCCTCCATCTCCGTGCCCAGGTACTCGACCACATTGGGGTGATGCAGGGTGGTGAGTAGCTCCACCTCATCCTGCAGCTTCTGCAGCTCGCTCTGCTTTTGTCCACCTTGGTTGCCGTTCGCGCTTTGGGCGTCTCTGAGCTCCAGCTCCTTCACGGCAATCAGCTTGCCCTGGTTTGTCAGCCCGAGGAACACCTGTTGGAGATCAATGAAAACGCCTTTTTGAAATATTTATATCTAATGTCATTGGAATACAAATAATGTGTAAAAGTAAATCCTTGATGTTTTAAACCTGTTTTTATTCACAGTTTCTCATGCCTTTTGGCTTTTTAGTTTTCCAATCAGTTTTACCTTTTTAATACTACATTTTATAACATTATTATGGTAAAACGTTCCAACTATCAGGCAGACATTTGTTTTCCGGGTAGCTTTACGTATCGAATAAATGAAAAGGTAGTGGGGATTGAGATGCTCACAGTGCCAAAGGCCCCCTTGCCCAGCCGGTTTCCCTTGATCCAAGTGATCGTCTGATCCTGTGTAGCATCATCGCTGAGGCTCGCTGCCCCCGAAACACCTTGCGAACCTGATGTGTGCCAATCTGGCTTTTCAATTAACGGTTCCCTCTTGAACGTCTGTAAGGCGAGTGCAGTGAAATCATTTCTGCAATTTTCAAAAGTGTCCTCCTTGAGAGTGCCAAGCGGCTGTGGTTTGTCCCGTGCAGGCGGCTCCTGCTCAACGGGTAATTTTTCTCGCGAGTCCTCTCTCCCCTCGTCGCCTAATTTTCTATTCTCCCCATTGGTGTCAACACTTTTAGATCTCGCGTGGTTCTGCTCGGCTCGCGCTGGGCTCCCCTTTTGTCTGGAAGGAAAGCCCAACTTGGGCTTGAGCTTCTTGGCACGGCCCTCATTGCTGTGCAACTTAACATTTCGGCCACGTGGGCGAGCGTTAGCCGGTGACTTGGGTTGTCCGGCAGACACAGAGCGGGGGTGCCGAACAGGACCTTGCAAAGGCTTCGTCTGCCGCCGTGCAACGTACACGGCGCCTGTGAACATTTGCCAAATGGCTGGAGTCTGCACATCTTTGCGAGCAGACTCGGAGAACAGGTCGTCGTAATTCAGCTTCGCAAAGTCGACGGCAGACATGGAGGGCGGGCCAAGTTTCTCCAAGAAAATGTGGGGTTTCCATGAGTTCAAGGCTGCCCGCGTGTTGTCGTCGTGCAGCTTTAATTTCAGTGCAGAGTGTCGAGCAAGATGCTTCTTTGCAGAACGAGCTTTGGTCACCTGCGTGCCCTGGGACATTCCTTCCCTTGGAATGCCGAGTATGTTGGGGCTGATGCGTCCGTGTTGAGGTGATGATGGGCATGGAGATTTTATTGGCGTTCTAAGATGCTTGACTGTATATTTTTTATGAGATTTTTCAGCTGTCACGCCCGAGGAAATTGCCCTACTCGTCTTTCTGAGCCCCTTTCTCAGAGCATTTTTCGTTGAGGAAGTATTTACATCGACCGCATTTTTCACCAAAGACTCTTCAATCTCTGTCTTCCACACTCTTATGAGCGGATAAATTGCCTCTCCGTTTGGTCCACCCTGCTTACCTGGCCTCGCTTCACTCCCTACCACTTCTGCACGTGACTCTGGCTTCTGGGACACCTTGGCTCCATCTTCAATTTCCGCATTAACGAGACTGTCTCTGCCATTCCCTCCACTGGTGACACCAGCTCCTCTCTCCTGCCTTGTCTCTGACGCTTCTGTAGGGTGGCAGAAATGCTGGCAGCTGCACCGCAGCGGTGGAGTGGGCACGTGCGTCGTCATGATCGGAGTCGCTTCTTTTGACTTATTTTTGCCGACGAATAATTGTTCCTTTGGCACTGCCCGTTCTGTAGTTGCTAACAGATGACCGGAAAAAGCAACCGTGTAACTCAAAGGCTTATTTTTGTCCACTGTGTTTTCTATGAGGTCAGGGGAAATGGCTGCAGGCTGACACTGGGATCTGTTCCTCACTGACACACTTCTGTTCACTGCAGTGGCTTTCACATCGTCAGTGTGCGATGACAAGTAAGTCCTCTTCTTGACATCAACCACTTTTATCCCTGCAGACACAGCCGAGTTCACTCCCAGTAGGACCACTGCATTTAACTCCGTTTTCACAGGTTCAGTGTCCACCTCTTCTTTTCGCGAACACAGGGTTTGATGGCTTTCACACACTTCACTCTTATCTTCCACAGTTACGGAGTCATTCTTAAGACAACCATTAGGTTTACGACGTTGAACATTTTCCCCTGAGCAATGATCGCGTGGTTCTGACAATGTCTCTGCGTCTTCGTGTTTTGTTGCTGGAGTTATGGCTTTACTTGAGCTGTGGAGTGCCTGTACAATCGGCACTAACTCGTTCACCACGCTGCTATTTAAGCATGTTTTCGTCATATCTTGATTCAATTGCGGACCGTGGTTTTTCGCATCATTCGCAAGAATTTTAGACCCGTTGTAATCACTCACACGGTGTTCAACATTGGCGTGTTTAGGAGTCGTCTTTGTCCCTTCGTCGTCATGGTGAGATTCGAAATCCTTCGGGTGGTTCTTTCCGTGTGCTGTAGCACGAACACCAAAGTCTCTCCCTGGCAGTAATGCTTGTGTGACAGTGGGCCTCATGTGCTGGACACGGCCCGGCACGAATGACCACAAACGAGGTTGATGCGTCTGAGAAAAAGACGGGAATGTTCTGTAACGTCTGACGTTGACTTCGTCACCCTGAAAGTGGCTCTTCCTTGGCGACACAAAATCGGCGCTCTCCTTGTTAGTAACACAGTCCTCAGGTGTGTCGCAAAATCGCCGAATGCCAACCGCGGATGAATTAGCTTCAGCGTAAGTTTTGGAATGGATTTCGGGAAGGGGTGAGAAGCATTTTTTCGGCATGGAAGGAGGCCTGAGCCACACTGGCACATTGGGCAGCTGCGCCCGACTCCTTGGGTGGGGATCGGAGAGCCCCAGCGTGGGAAGGGATCTGCTACCCTCCGCCGGCGATCGGGAGAGCGGGGGAGGCAATGGCAGTGATGCGCTGCGAATAGGTGGCAGACACACCTGTGGGAATAAACACGCGGTCTCCAGTTTACACCATGTTTTCACTACGGTATAAAAACGTTATATCTGCCATTGGAAAAAAAGAAACACATGTACGTGTATGGTTGTTATGGGCAATGGTTTATGGGTTGTTGCCGTTTAACAATCTGACGTATTAAAAAATTACCCCCGACCTCATTAATTAGTTAATTCCCAATATAGTATCGTTATAATGTAGGTCTGGCGTGGGTGACCACCAAAGAGGTTGTTGCTAGCTGCGGGCCTACAAGGTGGGCAGCAGAGGGCAGTGAGGTAAAATATATTGTACTGTACTATGCCCCCCCCCACCACCCTACATTCGGCAACCTGCACTGCCCAGCGTGATGAAGTATGACCATATAACCCCCATGACCTGCATTGCCTGGAAAGGCCCTCATCTGGCTAGTGGATTGACAAAAAGCACTGTGCATGTGCGCATGCACGTAATACGCACACGGCGCTATTCACTCATTCCCTCTTTACGCAGAGATTGTCCCCCAGAGTGAGGAGTGACCGGAGTTGGCATTTCACGTGCATTTGTTTGATGCTTGTGGTTGCCCAGCTCCCAGGCGACATTGTTTCCGCTTTGCCTGCTGTGCGCCTTCCTGCAATGACCATCCAGGGCCCGTAGTGTCGGTGCCAAGTCCATTTTCCCAGCGTCAACCCCGTCCGACGTGCAGCCGAGCTCTGCTTCCTTCAGGCTGGAGCTGCACGGGTCTCTATACAATCGGCGTTAATGCAGGGGGCTTAGTTTTTTTTTTTTTACCCGCGCGTGATGATTGTAGAAAGCGCATGTGTTGTTACATCAATGCAGCGCGCAGTAGACCGTAGATAAAGTTTCGCGTGAATGCTAACGTTATTGAAGGTCACGTTCTAAAGCCGCTGAGCCAAAAGAGCTGTCAACAGGTGGAATTGTATCGGCAGCGAACCAGGAATGAGTTGGGTTTTTTTCTCTCTCTCTAACTTTTATCTTTTTAAAGACTGTTTATGCTGAGAACCTGATCTCCAGACAAGCACGTTATACATCAACACTTAATAATACAAAGGTCTTTCAGTACAGACTTGTGTTTCTAAACGTAAAATCGGATTATACGACGGTTGTGAGCACAACCTCTTCATGTAACAGAGACAAACATCGTACCTCATCGTAACCCTGATGGAGATGGAGGTGTTCGTGGGGGACGTCTGCATGGCCCCAGCCACAGGTCTGGCGGATCCCCTAGATTCCTGCTCAAGCCCTGCCCTGCACAGAGAGATAGGAAAGACAAAAGCCATGGATTGTGCACCCCTGCACCACGACCACATCTTACGGGTGCACATGAAACTGCCCAAGGGACTTGTTGCGCAAGAGAATTTTGTGAATTGCCAGAGATCAGGTGACTCAAAACGCAATGCGGGTAATTGCCTCAGAGCTCCTGTTCGTGCTGTTAATCGAGGCAACAATAATTGTGGGAGTTTTTTTTGTTACACAGTGGTAGTGAAGTTGCTTTTTAGAAGTCCAATAATCAGATTATGTGCAGGCACACATGGCCATCAACCTAAGTCAGAGTTTTTGGGACTTTTAAATGTAGTAGGATGCCACATTACATTGTTACCCTTCTGGTTAAATTAACATTAACCCACGGCTTAATTTCTCAATTCATATATTTAACGTTGTTGAAAGACTAGAGTAATATAATAATGAACTCGGTTTCGGATAGCGCAATTCTTACAAGACATCAAAGCACTTTGCATGAAGCTAAAGTTATGGAGAAAGCTTGCAGTAAAAACAGGTGAGTTTTATGATGCGATTTTAAAAGTGTAACAGACTGAGATGCCCTAATCGACCGTGGAAGGTAATTCCACAATCGCAGAGCTTGGCTGCAAAAATCTCTGTCTCCCCTAGAACACAGTCTGGTCTTTGGAATAATGAGTTAGACCCAGTTTCAGCAGATCTAAGTTTTCACAGTGGAATGTAAAACCCAAGCAGATCGGTGAGATATGTATGAGCCAACTCATTGAAGGCCTTAAACGTTATGAGAATAATCTTACAGTCGATTATGTACTTGACACGGAGCCAGTGCAGGGACGAAAGAATAGTATTCATATACACTGGTAGCCACAGCCATAGCGAGGGTAATACCTTTACTGCATGTGCTGTTTCGGTGCGTGATCATTTGCGAGGTCGCTGACCCGGACAGACAGACAGACCTGGAAGTAAGCCCTGCATGTGCCATACGGGAGAAGTGTTACGTCGCAGAGTAGAAGTGTTCTTCGAAAGCTTGTTGTGCTGATGAGGAGTGTCTGGCGTGAGGTCGCTTACCTCCATGCTGGTGGCTTCTCGTGATGTCCATCCTGCGCTGACCTCAGCTCCACCCTGTCCATCTCTTTCACTTTCAAAGTGCAGCGAATGTCTGCACCTTAAACACACAAATACGTTGGACAACACCCACTTACGAGTAGTTATTTGGTCCGTTAGCCATGGAAAAAAATTACAATCCGCGCATTTGAGTTAACTCCGATTCATAACCATTGCATTTCTGTGCAAATTCAAGTAGTGCAATCGATGTGTTGTCAATTCTGTAGAACAAAAAGATTTCGCCTTACTTCAGGGAGTGTAAAGAACACAGTGTAGAAGCATTACGTTTGTCTTGTCATCTCCTCAAAGTGGAATAGCTTGTGGTGGTGGTGGTGATGATGGTGACCAATGGACAGTAGCAGCTGCAGGAGTGCTGCTGATTTAAGGAATTTTGGAATATCCAGTGAATTCTACATTCGTAATGAATCGGATAACAATGACGTGTGCTTTAAATAGTAAACCGTTTACGTTTTTTTTGCCGAGTCATGGTAATCACAAGGCAGTGCTATTTAAATAACATTACAACACCGGTGTGCACTGTAGGAAAACCGGCATAGATAATTCCCCTGGTAAATGTCCCATCAAGGACGAAGGCGACGGAGCGGCGTTGATGTGTTTTCACAGATTCTATTTCTTGTTGTTATGCCCGTGCGTTGAAACACGGGCACGGATTTGTTTCTGCCCACAGTGCCAGGGAGACGGTTGCCTGGCGGCACGGGCTTGCGTGGCTTTCGGCCCAAATGTCCCACGGCACGGCGAGCTGGGAAACTTCCGCAATCCGAGAGGCGGTTACAGAGAAGGATTGCACGTCAAACACTCCGGCGTGCGTAAACTCCAATCGTCCGCGCTTCATCACTTAACCCTGTACCTAGCACGCAGGGTGCGTTTGGCTCAGTGAATTTATGAGTGTGCGCCATTAAGAAACTAAGAATTGGCATTAACTGAGAAAACATTTTAAAATAACACTGCTTGGCGTGTGTAATAAATGCGGTGTGCTGTGCACATGACCGCGAGTGGCTGTTAATGGCACGATGATGACAGCCCCAAAGTTAGAGCAGAGGTCGTGTTTCCAGGGGAGGTCAGGTGCTTGTGTGAGGGCTCTTTGTGTCCGCTGTGGGGCACCATCGCTTGCTAAGTCAAGGAGGAGAAAAAAAACCCCACTCTCGTGGGGGTGGGAGGGGGCTCAGGCAACTCGTGACTGCATTGCAAGTTGACTCAGGCGCTCACCTAAAACCACCAGAGACCTTTACTGGATTTTGTTTATGTCCATGTGTCTCTTTATATACGTAAAAAAAAAATATCCCCAAATAATTTCTGCTTCACTATTCTAAATGTGGAAGCGCGTGTCAGACCATTATGGGTTACGTAAATGAACAACAATTTTGTTCGTGTGGAAAATAACCACAAGCATTGCTTTTATGTTTTTGCACAAAAATAAACTTTTGTATTTTTAAAGAAGCCATTTTAAAACGAATATACTGTATTGTGAAAAAAAACAGGCTTTCGTTTTTAATTTCAAGGGGGAAATAAGTGTGCGTTTTGTGAGGGTATTATTCTGTTATTTGTACATTGGCGAAAATATGTAAATCGGTTGAATAAATGTTAAAGCCGGATTTAAATGCGAGACACAGGAACGTTGAGCGACATCGTTAAGTGGTTTAACTATTATAAATTTACAAAAAACACCAAGCTTCTTCCACTTCACACGTATTCGCGGTGTGCCTGCACAACATGGTTTGTGTAAAATCCAGTTACTATCTCCAGGTCACGAGTCACGTGTTGGAGAGCGTTCTATAATATCATGTTCAGCATGTTAAACATGGCAATCTTGAAAAAAACATTGTTGATTATTTGTAGTGCTTCAAACACACTGCATGAAAACTGCATGATAAAACACACAACAGCTATGACGGAACAAGTCAGCGTTTTATGTCTGGAAACGTTCTACAAATATCAGCATCAACCGTGCTCATTCCACTGATGGATGAAGGCCGCTTCAAGCCGCAGGCCATCTCTCACGAAGCATGCTACAACTAACAAAAACATACAAGTGAGTTTTTTATAGAGAGGCTAAGATATAGACGTGAAATGTCCCGTGGTTCCACACTTATGACTCTAAATGTGAACGCTGCATCGTCACAAGTCAGCGTCTGACAGATGCGCAATATACATATGTTACTACAGGTGGAGAAGTGATCTCGTGCGATGTTTTACTCACCTTGAACTGTGTTTATGGCAGCGTGGAGTTCTCCTGCACTGGCAGCCAGACTTGAGACTCAGTCCGTGATTGTCTGCTCGCGTTTAGCTTTCTATGCCACGCGTTTGTGCTGCCCCGATCTATGCTGAGGATTGGCATCCTGGGGGCGTGTTTCCTCCTGGATATGCGCAGTGTAAACATTGCACGAGCCGCAGCCAGGGGGTTTCTGTGTGCTGACCAGGTGCAATATACACTGCGAGTCTAGGTCCGTGCATTTTTTTTAGGTATTCCACAAGAAAAATATATCCCGTGCAGAGAAAGGTGAAATCTTGACTTAAAGCTTTCGTGACTGTAGGAATTCATTTTCTTTGGGTCTTTCGGTAAAATCACGTAGATAGGTTCATCTACGTGACATTACCGAAAGACCCAAAGAATACAGAGAAAGGTGATTCTGTCAAAGCACTTGTACCGCAATGACATTGTTGATAAAGATGTTATGATGTAGCCTCTGAATGGGTTCCCGGCCCATCTGAAATGGTAAATATTGTCTCCATTTATGTTTATCGATTTATTTTTCCACTCCAATTTTGGTAAAAAAGAAAACCTTCCAATGTTGCTGTAAATTACTTTCGTAAAATCGTGTCTCCTTGGCTGATTTCCCATCTAATACATATTTTTATATTTTCTATAGGCATTCTCAGTGTAGCTGTTCTATTATACAAATGGTCTGTATTATTTATAAAATATATTTCATTTTGGCCTTGGTTTCTGAGGGCTTGGATGATTGCTTGAATTTACACTCGACTCAAATGTCTTTCTTATTCTACATATGCGAAACAGTAGTTGACTTTCATTGGTCACTTCCAGAATTAGATTTCTGATACAGTACGTGGTTGATGGTAACGTTGTGTGGTTGGTTGGCCAATGCACTTGCCGTTATTTTGTTCCAAATTGTCTATGGTAACTCTTTGTGCACGTGTGATAAGAGGCTAATGGATCTTTTTCGAATATAAAAATGATTGAGGAATTATTCCATGGTGAAGATATATCGTTGAGAACAATTCTGCGAATTGTGTTGCAACAATGTATCCAGCTTCTTTGGTGATGCCCGCAGTTCCCCCATCTGGCCCAGGGGCTTTACCTTCGTTCAAGTTTGAAATTTGGGACTTCCTCCCACTTCATCTAAAAAGTTTGATTCCTGGAATATATGAACTGGAAATTAACTATAGCTGGCGTAGCAACTCTTGGGTCCACTGTACTTGCTTACCCTGCGATTAGTATTTGCAGTAACAAAGAAGCAGAGTTTAAAACGCGCGGGTGTTCAAGGTAGTTTTATGCGCGCATAAGTGCAACTTATTTAAATATTTAATTGAAATCCACTTGTACAACATTTCCAACGTTTCCAGTTAGCGTACGTTCTCTATGAACGGGCGCTGCACACAAATTAACTATTTATGTATTTAGACGTTTAAGTGTGACGTGCATGGTGTCAATGCATCCAGCATACGTTAGATATTTATATTGTGTTTTTTATGTCATGACTGTGTTTGCTATATACGTGGTCAATTGACACCGCGAACATGCTCGCACGACGAGATGATCCATCTCAAGGGATTATCCAGGAGAAATATTTCAATTATATGAGCAAGATGACCTCGTGTTCTCCCCCCCCCCCGCCTCATACGTGGTTTTCTCTGCATGCTTTGGGTTTCTCCTACATAAAATGGAGTGGCCGAACATACAAATGCAGGAAAAGTGTGGTCAGCCCCATCATCTGTAATAGGTTGGTGAAATTATCAACAATAAGACTGCACGTCTTGGTTTCGTAGAGGTAAATACAATCCGTTAATGAGAAAATACACTTTAAAGTTAAGTCGTGGATGTCCCTCTTGTGACGTCACTGTTGTCCCCGTTTAATGCCTAACTGCTGTGGCGTTAATAAGAAGGCATATCTCTGCACGTGATGTTTTATTATATATAAACGAAGCTTTCAACTCTTCTTGTACAGCATGGTACACACAGCCCATGTGTGAATATCTAAGAACTTTAAGGTTGTTATTTTTTAGTTGCCAGTGACACCGTGAAGATCTTGACAAGAAAACAATTCCATTCTAGAATGGCGTCACTAGGGTTGCTGTCACCCAGTGCGGTAACTTATGGTGTCACCCCACATGGACCTCCGCCCGTAGAGACCATACAGAATCCTATGGAATGTTTTTTGTACTCATGTTACTCGTAAATCCCGTATATCAGTGAATGTAATGGCAATGGTAGTGACATAAACAACTAGAAAATGCTCAATTATACCTTTCATTACAATATTTCCTTTAATTACTACGTAATTCTCAAAAAAGTTATTGATATAGGTACTAATTACCACAATATTGTAGCGAAAACACCAGAAAATTTGACAAAACCAGCTACTATAAAAACACCATCAGCGACGAAAACAACAGCGAATGCTTGCAGCGCGTGCAGACGAAACCACGTGATTTGAAGTGTCACTGTAATTGGGTAATAATGACAGCTCTGACCGGAGCGCATTCGAAGGTTCAAAAAGTAAATTAGCATAGCTATTTAGCCATGTAGGTATATTGTACATGTAAGTTGGGCTTACGAAAACTGTTTTTGTTGTTAGAATTAACTACAGGGATATTTTAATTTTAAAAAAATCTACTGAAACACTGCACAAAAATTGTACAGCCATTTTGGTGTCACCCCCTCTGGTGGTGTCACCCGGTGCCATTCGAGATCCTCTGCTGGACGGGAGTTTCAGTCGACGCCACCGCCACGTGCTGCGTTGTCGCGCCTGCACGTGGCCCTCCACGTGACCCTCCACGTGACCCCGTACGGTTTTACGCGTGACGTCACCCCCCGCGTCGTAGTGCTTCCCCCCCCGCCCCGCCCCCATTCAAGGAAGGGAAGCCGGCGGCGCGAATGGCGATGCTGAGCGTCACCCTCACGCACGGTGAGTGAGGTCGCCGTCCGTGAGCGCGCTGTGGCGGCCCACGGCGGCGGCGGCGGCGGCAGCGCCGAGGACGTCCGTGCGACGTCTTCATTCGCGCCGTCGTTCAATGTCGTTTCATTCTCATTCCGCGACTCGCGGTGTCCGCGGCCTGGGCAGAGCCGCCGGGACCTCGACCTCGCCTAGCGGGGCTACCCGGGCCGGGGTGAGGGTCCCGGGGGGTAGAGTCGCGAGTAAAGGTGAGGGTAGTGATGGTGAGTGAGGGGTAGTGATGGTGAGTGAGGGGTAGTGATGGTGAGTGAGGGTAGTGATGGTGAGTGAGGGTAGTGATGGTGAGTGAGGGTAGTGATGGTGAGGGTAGTGATGGTGAGTGAGGGGTAGTGATGGTGAGTGAGGGTAGTGATGGTGAGTGAGAGTAGTGATGGTGAGTGAGGGTAGTGATGGTGAGTGAGGGTAGTGATGGTGAGGGTAGTGATGGTGAGTGAGGGTAGTGATGGTGAGTGAGGGTAGTGATGGTGAGTGAGGGTAGTGATGGTGAGTGAGGGGTGGCTGGGGTGAGGGTAGTGATGGTGAGTGAGGGTAGTGATGGTGAGTGATGGTGAGTGAGGGTAGTGATGGTGAGTGAGGGTAGTGATGGTGAGTGAGGGTAGTGATGGTGAGGGTAGTGATGGTGAGTGAGGGTAGTGATGGTGAGTGAGGGTAGTGATGGTGAGTGAGGGTAGTGATGGTGAGTGAGGGGTGGCTGGGGTGAGGGTAGTGATGGTGAGTGAGGGTAGTGATGGTGAGTGATGGTGAGTGAGGGTAGTGATGGTGAGTGAGGGTAGTGATGGTGAGTGAGGGTAGTGATGGTGAGTGAGGGTAGTGATGGTGAGGGTAGTGATGGTGAGTGAGGGTAGTGATGGTGAGTGAGGGTAGTGATGGTGAGTGATGGTGAGTGAGGGGTGGCTGGGGTGAGGGTAGTGATGGTGAGTGAGGGGGGGGGCTGGGGTGAGGGTAGTGATGGTGAGGGGTGATGGAGGGTTGCTGTTTTGAGGGAGGGAATTCAGGGGGACAAGCTAGAGGGTGTGAGGGTAAGACTATGTACTGTGTTTCAAGTTTCATGTATTAGGTATAGCCCTGTGAGCCATGCGGCTTTTGAGTCGGGTGCAACCGCAACAAACAAAAATATGAACAGAGAAACATCTTAAAGCGACGACGACGTGCAACAGAAACATCCTGGGATAAACCAGAAAATCTTCCAGAAAAAAAACCCCACCGTATTACAACGCTGTGTGCAATAATCCCAGTGTGATGCAAGACAAACACTAACAACCATAAGACAATTTAGATTCAAGTTATCAGGCCAACTCCGCACTTCCGCAAGAAACGTGGCTTAAGCATACGTTTTAGAAATCACCAAAATAACTCGTGAACTTCTTTCGCACCGTACGTAGCCAACCATGCTAATCGGAGGCGCGGAGGAAAGACACCAAAACTATGACACAAATCGATTCTAAAGATGAGGTGGACGGCGATAGCAGTCGAGGGGTGTGACCTTATCGTGCACTACTCGTAGTACTTGTGAAGTAATTATGAATGAAATACGGTGTTGCTGTTTAACATGTAGGATTTAGCGACGAATATTGTCCATAATACGAGGTTTTTTTTGGGTTAGATCGTGTAAAAATGAATGTGTCGTTAAACCCGCCACCACCCGACACAGCCAATTCGTAAGGTTTATCACGTAAACAAAACGTGCCAATGAGTAACTTCAGCACACCGGTGTGTTAGAAAACACCGCAGCATTTACAAATCGAGTACGACGTTTCGTTTATCATTAACGTCGTCCTTGAATTGCAAATGTTGTGGGTTTACTCTCCAACACCCCGCCTGGTGTGCTGTAGTAACTAATCGGCACGCATTGTTTACGTGACAGCGTTTACCGACACGTTTATAGTTACGCCATCTAACAAACAAAAAAGCTTCATTATGGACTTAGCAATGCTATAGAAACGGGTGATCGCTCTGCATAGAATCCAGCGTTCGAATTCCCTAGACGTTGTATAATTGATACGAGGTGAAAAGAGGACTAACCCCACCGCAATCCTCTCGAATTTCCCAGAGTATGTGCGGTGCTTTGTCACTGACTGGCAGCAGGGTGACACAGTGGGGGTAACACTTGTGCGTCACAGAAAGAAGGGGTCCTGGGTTCGATTTCTAACCCGGGCGCCTTCATGTAGAGTTTGTATGCTCACCTTTGCTCTGCATTAGTTTCCTCCCATGGCTAAAGACATCCATTTTTTAAAAGTTCCATTTATTTTGGAATAGCCCTGTGAGCCATTCGGCTCTTGAATCGGGTGCAACCGCAACAAACAAAAAAACATGAACAAGAAAAACATCTTAAAGTGACTACGTGACTGTGCAAACAGAAAATCCAGGAAAAAAAACATCAAAATATTCCTGAAATGGCACCGTTACACCACCAACGCTGTGTGCAAAACTCCCAGTGGGATACAACGGCATTGGTGTTAGCCAACCGTTCCCAATACAGGAACGTATTGAATAAGAGCCGTCGCGCTCAGTGTGACTTTCCTGAGTAACTAATTGTGAAAATGATTGACCTCACATGAACCGTCTCGGGAGGCCGTCATGGTGGCTTAATTCACAGAGATGAAACGTGCTCAGGTGGCTTTCTCCGAGTAACGAATAGAGGTGATGTAGGTGGGCTGGGTTGACAAGGCTAGGGCCAAGGTCAGCGATAACCCCCTATAGGTTTCACCAGAGCAATCAAGATCATTGTTATGATAAAGAGGTCATGATCAGTTTCATATTATCAACATCTCTTCTATTGGAAGATCTGATTTGCACGGTTGGCTAAGTACAGTGCGAAATAAGTTAAATATACAGTAAGTTGAAACCTTTTAATTATTTTTTATATCCTCTGGCATGAGTAAATTATCTTGCAACATTAACAGCCTTTAGTATTTTCACAGCATGTAAATGCAGTTGCATCTCAATTCACTTTTCCTGAGTTATGGGGCGACACTAGGGAAACACGAGGGAAGGAGCTGACCCAGTGGAGAGAGTGAAGGATTGGGACACGGGAGTGCAATGCTACTGCATTGAGGCCAAGTCCATGGGTGTAGAAGCCACTGACGTCCAGCACCCACGAGTGACTTAACCATGTTTATTTATCTCCCTTGTACCTCCGTGGTGCCTCTGAACCCCCTGCATCTGAGATAGGTTCCTACAAGCACAGTGTGCAAGTCCCAGGGGGTCCGGGCGGCAAGGAGCCCACACTGAGCGACCTCGCTCAGGCTGTCGCCGCCGCCACTGCTGTCCCCGAGGCTAACCAGAAGCTCATTTTCAAAGGTGCCTCAGTGATACATATGACATGACAGTGATGTAATATCTCAGATGGAGTGCAAGCATTGATTTAGTAATTTTGACAGTAAACTTACATTTCTGTATTATTGGAAAACAATTAGTATTGCCTGGTTGTATTTTTATTCTTAAGGGAAATCCTTGAACACCCTAAAAGAGGCTGATCGAATGATTTCAGCATGTGGGATGAAGAATGGATGCAAGATCATGCTCATTGGGAAAAAGGTAAATGCAGCTACTTGAGAGACGTTTTAAGTGGCACACAATGTTTAAATATGTAATGTGATGCTTTAAAGGCAATTGTGACAGTGGAATTAAATTGCATGTTTTTCTGTACAATTAACTTAATAGATTCTGCTTTTGTGCAGAATAGCCCCGAAGAGGAAAGTGCATTGCAACGACTGACAGAAATGGAAAGGTCTGGAGAGCAACTCTCATTTAGGCTGAATGAAATCCAAGTGGAGCTTAAAGGCATAGAAAATGTGAGTGTTCTATACAATGTGCCCAGCCCAACTGTACTGCAATGTAACTAAATGTGCAATTAAAATAAACAGTAACATAAAGCCTGCTTTATTTTTACCGTAATCAGGAAAGTATTATTACAATTGTTATTAAAACTTCTATTGCTGTTTAAATGTTATGCTTTAAATTATCTTAACACAAGGAGTTGATGGTGTGTCTTTGCAGAGTATAATGAATTACAGCATAGTTGAAATGTACCATAAATTGGTTTATACCACTTTTATATTGGTTCAATATGGAATATAAAGCTATTCAAACTCATTCTGTGGGCATTATGGAACGCAGCACACAAATGAGACTAAACTAATCCATTTTGTATAGGATTTTGCTGAATTGTCATTTGAAGTTCGTTGAACCCTGTGTGCGTGTACCAGGGCTACCTGGACAAGAATCTGCGGGGGCAGGCACTGACCAAGCTGGAGAAGCGTGTGAAGGCCGTGACGGAACAGTGCATGAAGCTGCTGGAGCAAGCTGACGGCACGGTTAGGGCTCACGCATGGCCCACGGCTGCACAGATTCATAGACCGGAGGAAACACTGAAACACTGGAATAGTTGTCTTGGGGGTTATGAGTCAAATTCTGTTCAGGGGTCGATTCTGGTCAGGGGTTGATTCAACCATTGTATTTCTGGAGTCCAGTGAGTCATACCATTTTGTAGTAAATCAACAAGGGGTGGCCTCATGAAGACTGACAATTTGAGAGGTGGCTGAGGATGTTTTTAAATGTATCTTGCATTGCCCAACAGGAACTGCCGGAGAATTTTTCAGACTGTCGAATGAAGCGAAAAAGGATCGTGAAGAAAATTCAGGTATGGACATTAGGACTGGTGATTATGACATTGTGATAGATGTACGTACGGGAATTAGTAAGAAAAATAATACTGTTATATTAATGATCAATTAGCCACCAGTAAAAAAAAGTTTAATTTGCATGCATAAATAATTTGTAAATAACAGTATGATACTTGTGAAATTTTGAAGAAAAATTGTTTCATAATTTCACAGTGACATACTACATATATTGTCATGTGTTTCAACTGGAAATTGTTAATTAATTTTTTGAAATATCTATTATGCAAATTAATACTTTGTGTCAAAGTGATCGTTAAAAATGAAGCAGTTTAATTTGAAGAAAATTAAAGCCAAAAATATTGATTATTCTATCTTTAAAAAACAATGTTATGAAATAATCATCTCTATTACATTAAGAAAACTAATTAGTCAATAAGATTGCCTAGGGAAGGAAGGTTTAGTGAAATTACACTTTTATTCCACAAATAGTTTATTACAAAGAGTTTGTAAAACAATCGTTAAGTTTATGTGGTTAGGATTGTGATAGATAAAGCACTTGAAACGTGGTATTTTGTTTTTGGTGAAAAATCCCCAAAACATGTATTTAAAGCCAGGTGTCTGAAGCTGTAACAATTTATTATATGATAACGCCATCAAGTCTTCATCAGTACTATACAGTCTATTAACACTTATGCTAAGTTGAGAAAAGTATCCAATTGTGATTCTTTTTGTGCATTTTATTGAAGTATTTATCCGAACTTTCACTTGTGCCACAGAGCTACCTGGATCATTGTGACACCTTGGAGAAAAGTGTAACAGTTGAAGCTGAAAAGCTTCAAAGAAAAAGTTTAACACAGCCCGACTGATGTGACACACCGCGGGTTTGAAAATACAGTACAGTAGATTTAAATGTTATTTACATTTCATTGGATTTAGATGAATGGATACAACTATATATGTTTGGAATGTACTACACATAATAGTAATAATTTGAATGTATCATCAGCCATTGTTTATCTGATGCTGGATGAAGGTAACTCCACACCACTGCCACGATTTATCTTAGTCCTGTGATGCCACAACACACCTGCACATTAACTTATCTCATTCCTCCTCTTTATGATGGTCATCTTCCTGGGCACATCCTCTCAGTTATTCTGTCACCAGTCTTGTCTGCAAGCTGTCACCCTTTTGAGCATGTCTTATTCAAGCCTACCTTTCTCAATAGTCGATTTGTCTCTGATTTCATTACTCCTTGATCTATGTGCTCCTCGCCTCAGCTCAGTGTAACTGAGCACTCACCTCTCTACTTCTGTGCATGCTTTTCAGCATCTGCTCCATTAATTGTTCATTCTGTCAGTGTTTAAATACTTTAAATAACTACAGTTTGAAAATCTTTGGTAGGAGGTGAAATGGCTGTGGAGTCCAGTTGATGAGTGGCACGTTTTATCTAGAATATGTAGACAAGACTGGAGCAGAACCTTATTGTGACATCTTCATTTGTTACATTTTCTGAGTTAATTTTATTTTACAACTGCATGTTACTTGTGTTTGTGGAAGCCATTAAATATTGCATTCTGGGGTTGTCCTTCAATTTGTCAAATATTTTAAGCTCCCATTTGTGTATTTTTACTTTGTATGTATGTGGACGTCAAACTTACAGGCTGGTCTACTACTGCATACGTTTTCATGGTTGTGCTGCTTAGCTCTAGAAGGTGTTTTTGGATTGCAACACGTTTTCGGTTCTTGTATAATCCCCCTTCACATCGAGTAAAATATCAGACAGGCTGAGCAACACTCATTAAAACCAGAAAACACATCAATTGACTGTTCTTAATCATGTAGTGAGTCTCACTGAGTTGCAGACATTGTCTTAGGGAGCAACACGTTTTTATTAACTATTAACACAACATACTCTCCGGTGGTGACCACCCAACTAACCACGCTACGGTGACACTATCCCGGTCTGGGACCACAAGCTGGCTTCTTCAAGCTTGACGTGGATCTCCTGTCTCTCCAACCCTAAAAACCCCAAGCCCCTCCCAGGGGCCCCCCTTATATCGGGCCGGGCTGGGGCCGGCTCCGCCTCTCGCCCCACCCACCTTCTTGATCTCTCTCGCCCTTGCCCGAAGGCTCTCGAGAGTTCTTCCCGAACCATGTGACCACCCATTGGCCCCCTGCACCGGTGGCCCCCCTCCAGTATCATCCCGTCACGTATCCCCCAAGTCAGCCAGAGTATAATGCCCCCAATGTCACCCTAGCTGGCTGACACTCTGTCGCTCTCTCAACGGGAGCCCGCATCGCACGCTGTGCGTGGTGCCACCGCGCTTAACCAGCGCTCACCCAAGCCCCCACTAGGGCTGGTAGTACACCCCGTGTCTGGGGTGTACACACAACAGTATACATCCCGCCGTGGCCTCGAAGGCCCGGCACCACACAGTGACATTCCCAGTCACTACAATCACATTAGAACAGCACATGGCAGCTATTTACTTTACATAACCAACCACTGCCCATTATACACTTATGCAGGAGGTATGAACTCTGTACAGCAAGCAACTCTTGATGCCATTGAATTGATTACCAAACTCAACATGCAGTTAAAATTATTTGTCCATGCTTTTCAATTTCCATACAACAAAATGGCTGGAGCAGTCAAATATCCTGCTTTGTAAATGACGGTGAGCACTTTCATGTAACGGAGTTATCGACTAGCTTCTCAGAGATTGATCAACAAAAACGTAATTCCATTTAATTTTCAACTTAGTGTTACTTTCTGAATGCCAATCAACACTGCATTTTTCATAAAGACCTATATTGTAGCATGTTCCAGTGACGTAGAGACTTCATGGTGGTTGTACTGTAAATTCGGTAATGAACATCAATACATGCTACCCAACAACCTTGCAGTGTATTGAGTGAATAATGGACAAATTGTACTAGATGCCGTCACATATTTTTTACTTAAACATTGGGCCAGATTGTGTACGCTTTTCGACCTCGGGTGATAGCCCTCAATTCTCCAGTATGACCGCAATGTTCTTAAGTTGAGATTACTTTGGTTGAAGGAAACACTCTTCAAAAACATGTAACGCTTCATAAAATCAAGGTCGTAAAGCTAGGAATGAATATATTTTAAAGGATAACTAAATGCAACATGTACGAATAATGAATACAGACATCCACATGTGACCGACAACACAAACCAATTAATATATCACGTATTTTAACTTTATGAAAGTGCTGCATTATGTATTGTCCACATTAATTACAACAGCTTAAATCCAAACCACCAAGACATTCAGCACAGCTGCTATTTTAAGTACTGTCCTATGTATGTCTCCTACCAAAGATTAAAATTGCACGTTAACATCAGAGCATAAGTTCTTCAGAAAATGTTTTAATATGAATGGTCTTGGGCAGCATGGCTACATTTTGGGCTTGCAACCCCTTTCAATAATAGTTTTTGGCCTTAACAATGTCCAGGCATGGTATATCTGCGTTGTTATATCTTGCCCCTCTCCACTGCCTGTGATTGCATGTCTGGAGTATCGTCATTCACACCTTTACCATACTATTATCAGTATTTATGTTGAACTTCTTTCGCACCATACGTAGCGAACCGTGCTAATCGGAGGTGCGGGGGAAGGACACAAAACGCAATACGAAAACCTATTCAATCGAAATTAGTTTTCAGTCCATATTTAAAAGTGCGTAGCTCCAGTGGCTACTGAATATCGGAAGGAAGAGCGTTCCCGACGGCCGCAGAAACACATCTGAAAGCGCGCGATGCGGTGACCGTCTATGTTCGATGGCCTGCAGTCCCTCTTGTTCTGTACGGAGAAAAACATCCCTATCCTGTCATCACCATTCTCGCTTCCAACTATTGTACATCAACTTGAAATGTCATATACGCGTGCTTTATAAATCCAAAGGGTCAAAATATCTTGAACATGTGTAGTGACATTGGTGATGTCACTGTATGGTGCCGGCCCTAGAGGGCCATGGCGTGCGATGTACTTACATCGCGGACAGCATCGTGTGTGTTACAGAGTGATGCTGGCTCGAGCAGAGCACGGCGTGCGATGCACCGTCATCGCGTACACCCCGTGGGTGGGTGTAGTACCAGCCCTAGCGGGGCTTGGTGAGCGCTGGGATAGCGATGGCACCACAGGAGGGAGCGGGTGAGTGTCAGCCCAGGGGCAGGGTTGCCCCGGGCCGTGGCACTCGTTGAGCCCGTAGGCACGTGTTCCGGTGTGTCCATAGGGAGGCCCCTAGGTGGGGGGGGGCTAGGGGGTGATCACGTGTCCGGGGAGAGCTCTCGAGAGGGATCGAGAGAGAGCTGGAACGCTCTCGAAGGTGGGCGGGGCCAAAGGCGGAGCCGGCCCCGACCCGGGAGGATATAAGGTGGTCCCTGGGAGGGACTGGGGTTGCTTCGTTCTGCGAGCTGGAAGCTCCACGTCCTACATCTGAAGAGGCACCAACACGTGGCCCGGGACCCGAGTACGGGGTCCGTTGTAGCCATAACTCCTGTATGGTAGTGTAGTTAGCTGGGTGGTCACCACCGTCGGCTGTATCTGGTAAAGGGGCAGCTAGCCCTTTTGTATATACGTGTTGTGTAATAAATGTGTTGCCTCTGAAGAAGAACGTCTGTGACTCAGTTGGACCCACTACACATGTATATTGAGACTTTTTACAAATGTTAGATATATACCTGCAATATGAATGCCATGAAATACGCCTTAAATGAATATCCTTTCAAATAAAAGTCACCAAGAAATTGAAGATACTTCAAAACCTGAACGTGAAACACGGCAATTCAGTACAAACTTTTGTAGAGAATTTACAAAAAATTCAGCATATTGGACAATAACCCACAATACACATTAAAGTACTCTAGATATAAGGCATGGATGTTGATGTCATAATTCTTAAATGAATATGATTTCAAATAAAAGTGACCAACATATTGAAGATATTTCAAAACCTGGACGTAAAACAAGGCAATTCATTTATGTGATAAAACGAATGCAATTTTGTATTTACAGTCTTGCAAAGTGAAGCAAGCAGATGTTTTTTTATTTTATTACGATGCCTCAACGTCAACGACAGAGGGCGCCCAAACACTGACAATTCCTACTATGCTGGTTCACTTTGAATGTCAGCTGTGATTACTGGAGACCTGTTGAAAAATTGTTCCAACACAAACGCTTCGAAAGAGGGTCATGATGCTAATGCCTTGGGCAGTTTATTGCGTACACCCCATATAGTTTTCGTTCTTGACCTGTTACACATGGATGCTGAATGGGATATTTGACCATTTCCTCTATCTTGAGGGGAATTAAATAAATCATATGCCTGGGTGTTATCTACGAGTCCGAAGACCAAGGGAATGACCTTAAAGCTAGATGGTGGGATATTGTGACGGTAAAACTTGGGGGTCGCGTGTTCATAGTGCAGCAGGTGCGGGATCTGGCAGAGGGTAGAAAGTGTTGGGGAGATGCTGGTGGCCTCGCCTACTTTGGCTATGAAGGCATCTTGATCTTGTTTTAGCTTATTCTACCAAGAAGTATTCGTTTTGGTGCCAACAATGCACTGTTGTGTTCACGTAAAACATCTCTAAGCCGTTTTCCACTCATGCATAATTGCTATTAAAAAAATCTTGTTTGTTTGATGTGCTTTATTACTTTGTTACATTCGGAGTGCGTTTCTACCGTCGCCATCCTTGCCGTCAGTCATGCACTGTGGACAGTGAGAGGAGCAGTGCAAGCCGATCAACTCTTGAGAAGGAGGTCTCAGCCCAGTCGTCATTGGCATAAATGGTGGTCCCCTTCAACCGGCCACCTGTATCGCAGGGATAATGTTTAACTCGCTTCAATGGTCTCACCTTGGTACCTGGTCGTTACAACATGTCAACACCTGCATAGCCGATTGTTCCTTTTTTTTAAACAAGTAAAAGATACATTACTTGCATGCAGTTATTGTTGAAACATTAATGGGGATTGTATTTATATGATACAAACTACTTTTGAGTTGAAAGGTAAAGGGATGATTTGTATTGGCACTTGGTGTTATATGCAACCTGGACTTTGACACTGCAGTAAGGGGCATAAATAATGATATGGCCTGGGAAAACCTCACGAAATCCAAGGAATCTTTTTCAAGAGAATTTTGCATGGGTTATGCATATGCATTCATATGTGGTTTTTCACGTGGGAGAAAACCCCATACCTCTGATTATCACGGGTTGGCTACGTATGGTGCGAAAGAAGCTCAACATACATATATACGTACTGTTATAAGATTATTTTCCATCTTGTCCACCAGCTTGAATTTACTTTGAACAAGTTTAAAATTCACGAATGTTAAAAATAGGCGAATGCTTCTCGAGATTACAAAGAGAACACTTTCATAAACTCTATTTTTCGCCTTCTCATGTTGGTCCCATCTACAGGCAGCCTCTTTCTTCCATTGTGTCTGATTATTGCTACATCTACCCCTGGAATCAAATTGCATGTAATAGCGAGCTGATGGACACGATGACACGTGGCCGATGTAATTTGGCTTCAGCTCACATTCACTCTCCTTGAAC